TAATATTAGCAGCGAATATTTTAGCAGCCAATTGCCACATCATTAGTCTTGAACTGACTTGTTTGGTGTGCGCAACAGGAAATATTTCACTTTCGGAGAACAAGAAAAATAGGTTTATTTGCATGACTCTTATTAATTTGTGCAATTATTCAGTGTCTGGTAAGTTAATGTTCAAGAAAAAATATTAATTTTTATTAAAATGTTCTATTATTTTATGTTAACGATGACTCATTTATTTCAGCCCTTGGCATTCAGCATGTCTCTATCGAAATCAAGTGGCAGTAAAAATAAACAAAAAATTGCTGACGAACATTGAAATTTCCAAGAAAAGTAGGGATTGGAGTATTTTTGCTGTGAAGAAAAAAATAAAATAATCTGCTTGATATGTAATAATGTATTAGTGTACCAAAGTTATAACATAAATTAAAATGTGATCATTACGAGGGATTAACGGGACAAGAAAAGTTGAAAGAGTTCAAGTTGGGGCTGAATAAACAACAGCTCATGGTGACTACAGTATCACAAGGGAGTGAAGCGCGGTGCACGCAAGCTACGTCTTGTCGGAGTCGATAGCTAAACTCGAAACCTTTTACTGAAAGTGGTTTCATCAAGGAATGTCCGATTAAAGCTGCAGAAACTGTTTGTCCTGGAAATGGAAGTCTTTTCAACAATCTCTTTGTCTCGAAATACAGTTGCAGAGTTACTGATTTGGCTAACAATATAAGTATTCAGATCAAAGCAAAATCACCTAGTTTTGAAGCTTTCTCCATCGCCTGTGACGAGAGTACGGACATTGGAGGCGTAGCTCAGTTAGCTGTGTTTCTTCGCGCTTGCGATACAGATTTCAACATTTTTGAGGAATTATTAGAACCAGTACCGATGTATAATACTAGTACAGGACAAGATCTATTTAATTGTGTTTTTAAACTTCTGCAAAAATACAATCTACCTCTCTCAAAATTAACTTCTGTAGCTACAGATGGAGCTCCTTCGATAACCGGAAACAACAATGGTTTCATGGCATTTCTGCAAAAAAAAAAAAAAAACAAAGTGAAATTTATGACGGATCCAAGATTCATCATACGCATTGCATTATACATCAAGAAGTATTATGCGCAAAAAAAAAACACCCAAAAGAAAAAAACCAAACCAAAAGAAATAAATAAAAAATAATAAACTAAAAAAAGAAGAAAAAAAGAAGTATTATGCACAAAGGTAATAAACATGATCTCAAAGTTTAAATCAGCCACAGTTCTCTGCTTTCTTCAGTGAATTAGACAGCGAATATTCCGACTTGTCCTATGACTTGTCCTACTATACCGAGGTACGTTGGCTCTCCTGCTCCAAGGTTCTTTTTTTTTTATTTAATATATTTTATTGATTTTTTACAGAGAGGAAGGGAGAGAGATAGAGAG